GACCTTGTTTTTTCATTGACTGGGAAACCCTACTTTAGCGTGACTTTTTTTTCATTGATTGGGAACCCATACTTTAGCGTGACTCTTTTTTTTCATTGATCGTTTTTTTTTATAAATCGAACTAATTTTGGCTGAAATGTAAGTTTTTTCCTGCTACGACAAATATTGCATACGTAGCAAAAATAAATTACATTTAAAGAAGGAAAAAAGCACACACGATTTACTGTATGTTTCCTAATCACACTAATAAATCGTTGATTAGCATAGTATGCTTAGACACCACATCATTCAAGCACCATAATAAACAAATAACTATTTACCTTAGTCTTCTTTAGATATGTGTCGCCTTCGTATACGTCACGACTAAGTCCGAAGTCGGAAATCTTGATAACATTCCCTGCTGCCAGAAGGATATTTCTGGTCGCTAAATCTCTGTGAATTAACTTTAGAAACAAATTATACACACATATATGTATACATAATTATACTCTTGAAACTAGTAAGTTTTTTAAATCACGTAATAACATTGTATTTAATTTTGTATAGCTGAGACAAAAAACAAGAGGCTAACTAAGCGCTACAAACCATAAATTATTTTTCTTCACTTTCCAGGTCATTTTGAAGGCCAGAAATTATAAAGACTTGCTCACCAATTATTCGTTATGATTGTTTGTTGCAATTGTTTTAACTTTTATCTTTTGCAATCAAAACAGAACTACGTATTAGATAATCGCACGATATTATGCCATCTGAGACATTGTTCTCCATGAGATTAATCATTTTTATTTACTAGTTACTTTTGCCTCAAACGTTAATCTAACTTTCCCCAATGACTCAGTGGTAACTCTGAAGGCTTGTAACCCTAAAAACTGCGTTTCGATACCCGTGAAGGTCACCATACATATAGTACAATGTGTAGCTTTATGCTCAACAAGAAACAACAACAAAAAAAAACAGTGGCTAAAACAACGCTTAAACCCGGGGTTCGATTCTCCGTGATGGACAGAACGAAGATAGCGCTAAAAAATAAAAAATAATGTAACTGAGGTACCTTTACTTCTTTCTGAGGCCCGGCATGGTGGTTAGGGCGCTCGACTCGCAATCTGAGAGTCGCGGGTTCGAATCCCCGTCCCACCAAACATGCTCGCCCTTTCAGCCGTGGGCGCGCTATAATCCCACTGTTCGTCGGTAAAAGAGTAGCCCAAGAGTAGGCGGTGGGTGGTGATGACTAGCTGCCTTCCCTCTAGTCTTACACTGCTAAATTAGGGACGGCTAGCGCAGATAGCCCTCGTGTAGCTTTGCGCGAAATTCAAAACAAACAAACTTCTTTCTGCGTTTTCGTAATCGATTTTAAAAATAGAGAGATAATCGACAAGAAGAAACCAAATCTTGCTAGAAACTGCTCTCTCTAATCTAATCGGTAATACGACGATATATGTTATACAATAATGATAATAGTGTTCATCTTAAATGTTTAAAATGTTTCGAACCGAAAATAAATTATATGTACAAACTTTTCATTGCTTTTTAACAGTCAGTCTGTATTTTTTTTTCAGATTTATGCCTAGGTTAAATTTATATTATTTCATTGTTTGTATGTTTGTTTGAATTTAAGCACAAAGCTATACAATGGGCTATGTGTGCTCTGCCGACCAGGGGTATCGAAATGCGGTTTCTAGCGTTGTAAGTACGCAGACATACAGCTGTGATACTGGGTGAGGGGGGGGGGGGCATGTTATTTCATACCTTGTCGACTGCCATGAAGGTTGATAATACCAAGTCTCTGTATTTGTTTGTGGTTAAGCGCAAAGCTACATAATAGGCTATCTGTGTTTTTAACATTGCTATTTAAGTCCGCAGAATTACCGCTGAATCAATGTGGGGGCGGGGGGCAATCACTGTATATGACAACGTTTAAATACATAATAATGAAGCTACAATAATTAATATTACTCCACAATTCTTCGAATAAACACATAACTTTAAATTTAAATATAATTCTCAACTAACTTTAGATGAAATTATTATTTTCGTATATTTTATATATAGGTGTTCCAAAATGTTCTACAACTCACCTATAAGTCAAGAGTTCACATAAACTTATACTGGGAATTTAAAAAGTAGGAGGGGTGTATTTGAAACAACGATTTTGTAATCACTTCATAGTGTGTGATGTAGAAGGATTTAAAGTCGTAAACATCATTTGTATGTCTTCATTGAGATTGTATTTAATTCGGAATTTACGGCAGTGCACGAAATAAGATTAACTGATGTGAATGATACAAAGACGTATCTTATTTCGCAACAACATATTAAATATAAATGCTTCATGTGCTATGATACAATATTAGCAGGTGTAAAGTAAATGTAACGTATTTCACCGACATTTAGTGTCAGCTAATGTGGTGCATTACTGGTATCAACATGCAACGGGATATTTACCTATAACGTTTCTAAATGTGTTTCAAGGTCGAAATTCATTACTCTGGTGAAATATTTCACCTTATGTATATTATTGTGAGTAGGGGGGAACGAAACGGTCGCACTATGAAAACTTAGACTATTGTACGTAAACTCATTTTGAATTTACATGAAGTTTCAACCAGTTTCTTAAGCAGGAGCATAATACATAAATATAAAGTTGCTTTGTATAAAGTTTTAATTTTGTTTTAGAATTTCATATCCACGTTCAGTAGGAAAGTAATGCAAGTCTAGTACACGTTTTATCAAAAGCTCAACTTTTTTCACAGAATGCATTACGTATAAAAAAAACGTATAATGAAATGTAAATAAACGTATTCTATTACATCTGGAAACATACGCTTTTTCTTTTGTTATCACTCCATTCAAATACGTGAATATTTTCAGATTGAGGTATCGATTTTGGTTGCAATAAATATTATTTTGAAACAAAGCTATTAAGAATAGGATGACACTTATGTAAGTTTTAACACAGTTGTATTAAAGAAAGGAAAGTCAACGTTTTTAAATAGTACACAATAGATATTTAAAATGAGACTGGGGACGGTCTCATTTCTAAATACTATTATTATGTACTATTAAGCATTAGTTTTATTTCAATAATACATCTGTCTAAAAGGCAACGTTTAATGCGTTTCTGTTGACAGTTATAAAAAAATACAATTTTCTCATAGACTGACTCATTAACGTAGAAATACCAATATACATTCCGCAAACTCTGTCTTGTTCTTAAGAATGTGTGATTTGTTTTTATGATATACACCTTGTAAAAGTATTAGTCAATTTCATTAATTTAACTACATGAAGGACTCTATTTTTATTATTTCAAAGTTATTTCAAAATTTGTATTTATCGATAAGGAAAACAAAAATCATTTGAAGTGATTTTGCATAAGTGGGTTGATATATTTTTAATTACTTGCAGGAATGTTTCATTTTAAAAATAACAAATATGTGTTTGTTTGTTTTATTTTGTTTTAATTTCGCGCAAAGCTACTCGAGGGTTATCTGCGCTAGCCGTTTCTAATTTAGCAGTGATGGGCTAGAGGGAAGGCAACTAGTTAAGACCATTCACCACCGACTCTTTTACCACTGAATAGTGGGATTGACCGTAACATCATAACGCCCCACTGCTGAAATGGCGAGGATGTTCTCTGGGATCGTTATGTAAATCTGGTGTTCGATTCTCCTCAGTGGACAGATCGCATATAGCCCGTTGTGTAGCTTTGCGTTAAGAAATTCATCCATTCAGTAATCATGTTATGCTATGGAATTATGCCATCTATTGAATTATTTTTGGACTAAACTTAGACAAAGTGACGTTTTCCATACTTCTCACAGATGGCGATACAATAGCTTTTCTATTTCCAGAAAAGAAGGTTGTTTTTGACTTCAATGAAGTAGCTATCATCAATATACTTGTTTGCTTGACAACTGAATTACAAATAATATAACCTGTCATAACAAAAATGTTAATAATAAGATCGTGTGGGCATTTGATATACATAGTGGATTATGAAAAAATACTGTTTTATTCAAAGTAAAGCGGGAATTTAAAAGCCAGGCAACATCCGCTCTCAACTGTTTAGAAACTACAAGTATCAATGCCGATTTTTTTTATGGATGATTTAAGCAAAGTATTCATTATGAACAAACAATAGTGAAATAGGCAACAACTCACTAGTTCAGAATGACCTTTCTAGAGAAACGACGAAATTTCGAAAGACTTCCGTCACTTGTCTTTGACAAAAAGCTCATATACATCTTGCAAAATCCGGTCAAGCTGACCAGAAGAAAAAAAGACAGAAATCTTTCGAAACGTCGCCCTTTCTTCCTGAGCTCCTTTTTGTAGATTAGTTCTTCAAGACATTCCCTAGGAGAGTCTCTCCGAACTGAAAATATTTTGCCCATTTCATCTTTACCAATGTTTAATTTTCAGAATTAGTAGTCTGAAAATGACCTTAACACAAATCCAGTTTTAAGCACGAGGAATAGTTCAACAAAATCATACGAACTAGTTGAACTAAAGAGATTGGTTTAATAACACATACAGTGACTAAAATTCTCATTAAATACAGAGTAGATCCCAGCTTATGAAAATACGTGTTTGTTTCTTTATGGCAGACATATTTTGGTTTTATACTTTTATACGAACGTATACTAACCTTCATGTCGCTCAAATAGGCCATTCCTTTCGTAATCTGCCAAGCAAACGATATAAGATCGCGTTTTGTTAACCGGGTATCATTACGACGGCAGAGGTCACCACTGTCGGATAAGTACATGGGATTTTCTACTTGTACCATACTGGAGTCACTGAATTCAAATCCTAATGATCGACTTTTGCGCAGAAAAGAACGAAGAGAACCAAGCTCAGCATATTCCACTATGATGTAAAAAGGGCCGCCTGTTCACAAAGGGAAAATAAACAAGCCCATTTGAAAGCGTAACAGTCCATTCATTTATTACTGAGAGTGTTTCATTAGTTAATAACATTCCAGCATAAGCTTACTCTTCAGCACTTGAACTATGTAAGGTTCATTACTTATTTATTGTTTGTTGAGTTGTGTCATAAGAAGCAAACGTAATCAAAAATGTTTAAGTACAGTTTTTGGCATTCGGACTGTAAAAAAAATGCTCAGAAGTAAATAGGAAATAGGTAGAGGAAACAGTCACGGTATTGTATATTATAACTTTATTAAAAGTGAATAAAAGCTCTATTCATGAACAAATTCGAAAACGTAAGTTAACTTCAACATTTTGTCAATATTTGAAAAAAAGAGCAAATGTCTAAATACTAGAATTATCTTGCATTCGACAACTGAATATCACAAAAAAGATTAAAGATCATATCTAGAGAATGTAACTAATTAAGCAGAGGTATAAAAATAGGAACATTTAATCCTAGAACTACAATATATATTTTAAACTCCTTTCACTACCTGGGTCCAGTGGACCCATAACTTAATTAATACAGTAAAGCAACGAGAAGAAGAAGAAAAAAGGTAAAATAAGCACAATTGTAATAAATTTATTTATAACTGTATTTATTTCACCATTTTGTTTATTTGTATAGACTTTAATCATTGGGCCCAGTTGGAAGTTATAAGATCAATATATTCATGGCAATTACAAAATGTTCAAAGGGTCATTCTTATTTAATTTCATATGTTTTAGGTGAGGGTCTGGATTTACTGAGCTAGCAGGCTGGTTATATAATCCATGCGATGCCACAAAATATTACCTGCAGTTTAAGTTGTGAAGGCGTTATAAAAGTAACTGGCAATCCCTTTGCATGGATGGTGTGTGTAAGGGTACTGCTGAGTAACCACCTTCACTCTGGTCAATAGTTCAATATTAAGGACAGCGGGAGTTAACCTTAATAGCTATGTCACAGGTATAACATACAAAAACAAATTATATGTTTATATAGAAATATGAGGTTCTTTACGACGAGCTCATAACTTTTTTCTTAGTGCAGTAGCTACATAAATACTTAAGTAACTATACACAATTATAACTAGATATTGATTATAATGAAGTAACAGTTCATGGTAAATATATTAATATTAATTTCCAAGCATAGAAAGCTACCTAGTTAGACTAAAATACAAATAATCATCAAACCTATAATTGATATAGCTAATTAAACGTCCCACTTTTTACATTCTTACTTATAAAGATTATAATGCATTGTTTTGTCAGTTGGGTATCGTCGGAGTGTTTACTATGTTGGAACAAAATTTAAATATCCATATTTATGAGGTCGCTTAGTTATAAATAAAACATATACACGTATAATAAATTATATATATTTTCACAGAAAACACTAACCTTTCTGAGTGCATGCTCCAAGTAGTTTAATTACGTTGGGATGAGACACTTCTTTTAACATATTAAATTCTGAGTAAAGGTCCTGCTGTTCTGATAAACCTCCATTACCTTTAAGAATAATAACGCTTATTACCACGTTGAAAAATCAACGAAACAGTTTACTCAGTGCAAAGTATATTTACCTCATTCAGAAAGAATGGTTTACGTCACATGACAAAGACACTGTTAGAATAATAACGCTTATTACCACGTTGAAAAATCAACGAAACAGTTTACTCAGTGCAAAGTATGTTTACCTCATTTAGAAAGAATGGTTTACGTCACATGACAAAGACACTGTTGTATAATTCACAAGAAATAATCTACTATTCTAATCTGTAATTATTTTGTCTGACGAAAAAAAAAAAAAAGAATTGAAGAATCGCTTAGAGAATAAACACCAGTTATTTAGAGTTATAATCTTTATTTTGATGAGTTAATAATAGTTATCATTTTATAATTTGCATTATACTTTGATAATATTAGAATTTCATAGGGAGGTCAATAAAGCGATCGTAAACCTTAAAATGTTGTAATAAAACAAAGTTTTAATAAAAACACACAAAAATATAGAATATTAAATAAAGCTATATCATTTACTATGTTTAACCATTATTTGACAAAAGTCTGTGTATGTGTCTGCTTATAACTGACGGCGAACCGCTGGACCAATTGTCATCAAAACTGGCATGTATCCTTAGAGCCCCCGAAGACTGATATAGGGGGTCACTTTTCAGATCTGACCTCTGTGTGGTTTCCACGAGGTCCTTATGTCCTTCGCATGTATTGAACGGGTACGTCAGTTAATATTAATAATAATTCTTTGAACATTTTACAGTTTTACATTAAATTTGAAAAAAAACACACGAAGTAATTGGAATTTATACTGGTGTTACAAATTATCTCTAAAATTTGCCCTACAGAGAAAGCAGCCTTAGAACTTCTTAAAGAAAAAATACGTTGAGAGTTAAAGAACGAATATATCTATATAATATAATATAGAAATGTTAATCACACTACATCTCAGTAACCAATAATGCGAATTGTCATTACCATTTGAAAAGTATGCCAAAAATAATAAAGATGCATCCACAGTTTTACTTTGTTACTTGTTAGCCAGTAGACTTTACAATGTTCACATTATTCTGTACACATTTACTCTGAGAGTCTGGGCCAGTGGCGTAAGTATGCCCTCCACAATGCGGGGGAGCCAGAGCCAAAATGGGTTCAAGGGGCCTGTCATACTTAAGAATTGCCGGCAAAGGGAATAAATGTAGGGGAGTCCAATTACTTTTTATGCGGGGGGTCGTATTTTGTAGTTACTCCACTGACCTGGGCTGCAATAAACATTTGATTATTAATCAATTATTTGCACACGAAAAAAAAACATTTTAAATAGGGTGCTACACGCTAAGAAGGCGCGTTCTGGTAAAAAAATCATTAATTTATGAGTTATATTTTATGGATCTATTTACAATTGACTTGTATGTTATTCTTTCAGTGGTAAACTATTAAGTTGGTTACATATACTTAGATCTGAATTGTGACTTAAATAAAATAAAACAAAGCTTGTGTTGATATTCAATGCAAATACTTGTTTTAAGCAACCTATTAAGTACATAAATATTTAACGAATTCACAAAATAACCATCGTATCGAAACACTATAGTGAATGTGATATAATTTTATATCTCGGGGATACTACGAGACAAAGGTTAAAGAATAATGATTAGAAACATAAGTAATTAAGCAGATGTCATTCAAATAGAAACAGCTAAGATAGCAATGGCATTAAAGATATAGTCCAGTTGTATTACCCTATCTAAGATAAGTTTAAAGTCAAAGTATGAAGATATCTAAGTAATATATCTTAGAAATATTAGGCACGCTACAACCCAATAAGGTGCGATGGAAGATTTATATCATTACAGAAGAGTTAGAAAAGTAATTAAAAAGGAAATTATAGCATCAAAAGTGGCTTATGAAGAACAGTTGTCACGTAATTTTTGAAGTAACGATAAATATTTTTTTAAATATATTAATCAATACAAGATCGCAACAATGGAAAGTGAATCTTTAAAATACAGGTGATTAATGGCTTGCTCAGCTTTTAAAGTGACTTTTTAATTAAAGGTTTTTACCAGGAATGATATTGGCTGGATTCTTGATCTTGAGAATAAGTTTGGAGGAAATGTTATGGGAGCGTGCGATATGGTTATTAATTCGAAGTATTTTTATAAAAGAACTTAATAGTTTGAAAATAAATATGGCTCTTAGACTTAATAATATTTACCCTACCATTATTATTATTGATAGGTCGTTAGATAGAAGGATTAAGTGCCAGAAAATTGGAGAATGGCTAGTTTAAGGGAGGTAAATATTGCCCAAGGAAATTTAGGCCAGTTAACTTTAAATAGCCTGATGCAAAATGATTTGCTGGCAACATTTGGCGAAGTTCATTTTTTGTCATACCGACATGGCTTTAGAAAGGGAAGATACTGCCTTACTAACATATTACCTCCGCCATCGAAGATGGACGGAGGTTATGTTTTCACCTTGTGTGTGTTTGTGTTTGTCAGCAAGATTTCTCGAAAACGGCTGAATGTATTTGAATGAAAGTTGGTATACTAATGGAAAATGACCTAACTTAGAAGTGATTAGTTTTTGGATGGTCAAGGTCAAGTAAGGTCACGAAAATCCAAAAATCTCTATCTGTTAACACAGGGACCGACTTTTCACACTATTTTTGCTCTATAAATCAGTCAAAAATGATCGGATTTTGATGAAAGTTGGTGGACGTATGTAAAATATTATTATTCATTGTCCTACCAAAAATGGTCCGTTGAAAACAACGAACACATTTTCATATTTTTTGAGAGCCAAATATGATCAACGCTGCGTGGCGGACGTATGCGCTCTACTGAATGCCCCTCTAGTTAACTTTTGGAGGATACTGGTTCTTGTCTGGATGATAGTAAAGGAGCGGATTTGGTTTTAAGAGAGCTTTTGGCAAGTTGCCATACAAGTGATTGGTGAAACATATTACCTCAGTCGGAATAGAAGATAAGTTATCTAAGTGGGTTGAAGTTTGACTGAGTGGGAGAAAATAAAATGTTGTAATTTATCAGAGTATAATCTAAGTGGGCTAGTGTTACAAGTGGTGGGTCTAAAGGACCTGTGTTGATACCATTGATATTCCACATATGCATTAATGACATTGAAAGGGGCATAGTGAGAAAATGTGTTGAGTTAAATGATATTATAATGATCATCGGGCTGGCTGCAACGAGAATGTTGGGGTTTTAAAGAGTGACTTAAAACAGTTGGTTAATTGGACAAGCACATGACAGATGGAATTTAATTATGACAAGAGTAAGGTTATAGATGTGGGATATCAGAACATTAATTACATTTGTGATTTTGATGGAAACCTCTTAGTTATGTGGATGAGGAAAAGGATCCTGAGATATTGGTTGATATATTATACTTGGTAAAACTGATAAAAGTTTGGGTTGTAGATAAAGAAATATTGATTACAAGGTTAGAGGGAGTATGACCATCGTTTCATTGTATAAATCATTGGTTAGCCATACTTTGAAGTATTGGGTATATTTTTGATCCCCTTATGTTAAGAAGAACATTGAAACGCTCGAGATGGTTCAATAGAGGGCAGCTAGGATGATCATGAGGATATGAGGATTGACATATGGGGATAGTTTGAGATCTCTTAACCTTTTCTATTTCACAAAAAAAGAGAAAGATCAGGGGTAATATAATCGAAGAATTGAAGTAATGTAAGCAATCAAGGAAACTGGTAAAATTTATTGATCAGATTTTGTCGTACTGAATTTTGAAGGGAGTACGACATGAGGTCATTAGTTTAAAACTTGGAAAGGTCAGTTAATAGCTCCAGTCGAGGTAGTTTTATTTATCCACTGGAACTAGAATGGTACGTAAATAAAACAAATTGGTATTTAGAGTAGCACAGGCTGTAAATTTATAGGAAGAAAGTGAAATATAAGTAAATGATTGATAAATATTTAGAGGACTAGGGCTTGATTTAGTATCTTAGTTTTCCGTTTATCGAGGATAATTTGTAGTCAGGATACACTTAAAAGCCTTAAAGACCCCTTGACATACCAAAAATCTATCTGTATATCTTTCTATTTATCTCTTTTTTCACTTTCGATAAAGTAAAATTGTTATGGTCCTATTAATAATTGTGGCTTTTTAATTTACCTTTTGACATCTTCACTGCAACTGTACTGTATCCTTTATGACCATTTATTCCCCAGGCTTGTGCTCGCATCACCCTCCCAAACTCTCCTTCTCCTAGCTTCTCTTCCATAATCAACTTATCTCGTGGAAATTCCCATCGAGTATCTCTCTATAGAAAAGAAAGAGTAGAAGAAATTCGGCTTTTAAATACTTTATCCTAATACCTATAAACATTAACTCTGCATCAGAGGCGTATTAATCGGAATGTTATTTAAAAAAAAATTATCATTGCCTGTTTGTTTTTGAATTTCGCGCAAAGCTACACGAGGACTATCTGCGCTAGCCGTCCCTAATTTAGCAGTGTAAGACAAGAGGGAAGGCAGCTAGTCCTCAACACCCACCGCCAACTCTTGGGCTACTTTTTTACCAAAGAACCGTCACATTATAACGCCCCCACGGCTGAAAGGGTGGGCATGTTTGGTGTGACGGGGATTCGAACCCGCGACCCTCAGGTTGTGAGTCGAGTTCCCTAACCACCTGGCCATGCCGGGCCAGATCATTATCTGAGATACTCATAATAAATACTGTTTTTTGTTGTTTTGTAAATAAATTCATTTATACTTACTAAAGTCTTGCTACTACACCCAGCAGATGTTTCGTTTGTAGATTGCTGCGGGTCTTGCACTGGGGAAGGTCGACCATTTATATGTTCAGAAGTCATCACGGAGAGGGACATACAGTTTCCGACATATTTGTTTTTCGTTTTATTCTTCCTGTATTTCTTTATACGGGAAATTAGAATGAAGAGAATGCACGCAACAAAAGCGCTACCGAGAGCCAAGAAGATCAGGGCAACACATCCTTCCCCACAAGCTGCGGTACTGGAGAAACCTAATAAAGAAGGATCAAAACTTTATCCAATACACTATTCTTCTTGGAACTAACTGAGGTGCGCGCTAGTGACAAGTACATGTATCGTTCTGTGACATTGATGACTCTTGACCAATAAAATTACAGAACTTAACAGTGAAAGTAAAACAGAATGTATAACAACCTGTCAACCACACTATATCTGCCATATCTATTGTCGATAAGGCCTTTCGCCCGGTACCGTGGCTTACCAAGCTTGTTGGGATATGCTAGATACAGTAGTGGTTGAGATGCTATTTATATTCAAATTGCATGAACAAAAACCGTTATTATGTGAACCAGACTACGTTGGTGAAGTGTGATTTGGTTATTAATTTTATACGGACCATTTATAAACCAGAATTAGGGTAGGGATTAATACCACAATGTTCTTTATTTATTTCAAATTTAAGTTTTTTATACTACCATGCAGATGCATTATTACTAAGACATAACCCAAACTTTTGGTAACAGAGAATCGGTGGAAGGAGTTAAAATAAAAAAAACCATTGTATTAGTAATTGTGTTTTAAATTAAAGTATAAAACTTTGGTAACAGCACTTGTGCTGAAATTTATTCGTGCACGTCCCCCGATAGGACAGTGGTAATTTTATGGATATACAACGCTAAGATATGGGGTTCGATTCCCCGTGGTGGACACAGCACATAGCCCATGTGGCTTTGCTCTAAAAACAACCGTTATTCGTGCACAAAGCTTTGAAAACAATGTTTATAATTACGATCATCATGATTCAAAGGAACAACATGTTTATAATTACGATCATCATGATTCAAACGAACAACTGAAAACTATTTTGGCACGAAACTTTCACACTAATCCCTATAATCATTATCATAGTTCAAAGGAACAGCCGTGATAAAAGTAACTGTAAAGAAAATGTTCAAGCACAAGCTACAGTAATAATATCTAGCATCATGGTGATTCAAGTGAACAACTATTGTACAGAACCTAAGTTGAAGATGTTCAAGCACAAACTACAGTAATAATACATAACATCACAGGTGAACATCTGTGGAAACCTAAGAACCTAAGTTGAAAATGTTAAAGCAGAAAGCTACAGTAATAATATCTAGCATCATGGTGATTCAAGTGAACAACTATTGTACAGAACCTAAGTTGAAGATGTTCAAGCACAAGCTACAGTAATAATACATAACATCACAGGTGAACATCTGTGGTAACAGAACCTAAGCTGAAAATATTCAAACTTAAAGCTGTGGTAGTATATGATCACGCTGTTTCAAGAAAACAACTGTGGTAAAAGAACCCAAGGTAAAAATGATTTAAACAGAAACATCTATATTTTTTCTTTATTTAGCTTTGTCAAAGTATTTTAGAATGTCAATATTTAACATAATTTATCTTAAATTTTAATAACTATTGAGTTGTGGTTCAAATGAGTATTTTATTTTCAATCCTAAAAATGTTCTATTCTCTTAACTGGGTAATATTCAACTTGAATTATTTTGTTTATACAGGTATAATCATGTACGTTCGACCTTGTAAACATTTATATATGTATGTATGACATTAAAAATGTCTTTATTTCCTGCTAACAATATATGCTACTTCAGTAGTAATTTACTCGAAATTATAGTTATAAACTAAAATTTCCCTGTCTTTAAAAAACAAAAACAACCGTCGATTATAAAGAGGCATTGCAGAAAACAATAAACAGCAACAGGCTAGAATTAATGACTTTTCTGATAAAAAATAATACTAACACATGTGTGAATTTTACTGTTGTAAAATGTTATAATAATTATAAATAATGAAAGTAAAAATGTTTCCTTTAGACATTATCAACATGTTTTTCTTGTGTGAATAATAATGTGATATATTTATCGAATGTTAAACTAACAATAAACATAATAATTAGTGGTTTCATATACTATACCAGTATTTGTATCCTCTGTCTCTTTCGACAAAATTTCTGGGTTCTTTCTTCCTTTTGAATCACCATATTGTAGTGAGTAGCTATTGTTTGAGTCGAAAACCTGACTGCCGTCGATATGTATCGGTTCCACACACTTGCACGTATTGATAGTGGAGCAAGTACAAGTCCCAACTGCCATTTTGATTCCATGACTTTTACCACTGACGTTGTTTGGAAAGATAACCGAACCTTCGAAGTTTTCTGTGAAGAGAAAAACATACATTAAGAACAAAACACGAATTTTCTAAATACCGTTTTTAATGTTATGATAACATTTTTAGAGTAGCAAATATAATACATTTTGGTACCTGTGGTAAAACGTAAGAATAACTCGAACAATGTTTGTTTGTTAAAATATGGACATAATTTTTTAGCATTCAAGATTGCAACAGTGAAAGGACTAACAACGGAAAACACTAACTATCTAGTTAGCCACTCTGTATAAGGTAATAATATTATATATATAAGAAAACACTGGAATACGAAACTTTTTTCCTTATCTTTTATTAGTTTCTTCTACCGGTTTCGTGACTTTAAAGGTCACTCTTCAGGAAATAGTTTTACTGAAAATCTATAACAAAAACATATAAACACCACTTTTCAACTAAATATTAATAATTTAAATTAAATACATATAATTTACTTGAAAAGTGGCATTTCTATGTTTTTTCATATATATATATTCTCAGTAAAACTATTTCCTGAAGAGTGACCTTTGAAGTCACAAAACCGATGGAAGAAATTAATAAAAGAAAAGAAAAAAAGGTCTGATACTCCAGTGTCTTCTTATTCGTACCCACAGGTGAATCTTATTGATTTTTTGGTTATATATATATATATGTCAGTATTTCTTGAAGTCATGATAACTATGGAAAACAGAAAAGTATAGTACATATATTAATTGCTTTGCACTCTGAGACTTGGTGAAAAACTTACCACAGCAGTCCTGGGGACAAATATGGCCATATGTTTTTTCCAGTTCGTCACACACGCCGTCAGGACAAGTCGTAATGTCTGAACTGCAAGTGGCATATTTGGTGGTGGGAGAGGTTTTATAGTTATTTTCCCGCCAAGAGCAACGACCTCTAGCAGTTCCCATTCCACAGGAAGCAAGACAAATGGTTTGAACACCATATTTCGCACAATAATCTAATAGATGGTGGAGAATAACATTTTATTACTATTTATCAGAAAGAACCTAATATGTATATTTTCTATCTTCTACAGTTTTGTTTTGTCTGAATTCGCAGTAATTATGCAATTTTATTATTTAAACTATTATGTTAATTCTAGATTTTGTTATTGCTATTACTCATTCATGCATTGAAACAGACCAAGTGTTTCTATAATGATCTTTATCTTACCACAGTCTTCGAGCTGAGGGCTTTGATCTGCACAAAAAGAAATCAAAGAATTTTAGTTTTGCAAACTACAATAAGCACAGCGTCAAGAAATACAAAAAGTTTTCTTTTTCTTTTAAAAAAAATCCATAAAACTAGACAATGTTAACGTTTAATATGTTTCATTAACATCGATATACAAATACTTGTCATTACAGTTTTATTGCAAGGACAAAACATATTAAACAAAAAAAAAAATTACTCAACAGTTTGAAAAAAGCAACCATTGAATTAACAAACTACAGTAAAACCCACAAACAAAGTTTATTTGTTTTTGAATTTCGCGCAAAGCTATCTGCGCTAGCCGTCCCTAATTTAGCAGTGTAAGACTAAAGAAGGGAGCTAGTCATCAACACCCACCGCCAACTCTTGGGCTATTCTTTTACCAACGAATAGTGGGATTGACCGTCACATTATAACGCCCCCATGGTTGAAAGGGCAAGCATGTTTGGTGTGACAGGGATTCGAACTCGCGACCCGCAGATTGCGAGTAGAGCTCTCTAACCACCTGGTTGATGTTTTAGATAAGTTAATAAAAATTTATAATTCATATTATAATCCGAGTAAGGTGATTCCAGTTTAAGTAAGTAAAGTATTTAATAATCTACATTTGGTATTGAGTATTAATTTTCAGGCTATAAGTATGAATACAATAGTTAAGACTAGTGTAGGAGTCGAGCGTTCACAGTTTGTTGGTGTAATGGATGCAATACGTGGGTTTTATTTGTGAATTCGCGACTGGCATGTACTTACAATGACTTTCAGAAAGTTAGAAAGAGTAATATTAGGGCTAAAAGTAGTGAATTTAATTGTAATGAGGCTATTCTATTGAGTAACAACTTTCAGCTCTT